TCTCTTCCTGTACCAGCACAAAGATGGACAATATGTATTTTCTGCTTTGAAAAGCTATTAAGCTTTTGTTCTCTTGACTGAACTCTTGCCCAGAGAGTGACAGATTAAAAAAGCAAGTAAGAACAGTGAAAAATATCCCTTTAGTGTTTCACAGCATGGGGTCTAGGAGAGAAAACTTGGGATCAGTATTAAAGACTGTCCTTAGCTGGGTTCAGCCTGACACTTTGGCAATTTTACAGCTGTCTTTGATTGGCTTCTCCTTCTCTCCCAGCTCTGCACGTTGCTTCGCAGCCATGGCACCAATTCCTGCTCTTCACACTGCTCAGTGGGGGCCAGAAGTCCTTTCTGCAGCCAGAAGTTCTCAGGCTGATGACTTTGGTGAGCAGCAGAAGGGTGGGCTGTTCCCCATCTTTCCCACTATGTTGGCACCATGCACGTGGGCTGGTTGTTGGTAGTTAACTTGCTGTGTAACACAGTCTCTGATACTGCTGTGGTTTTGCCTGGAACTGTATTCCTGCCCTGTATCAATAATGATACTTTCAAGTGAACTTCCACACCCTACAGAAACTGGCTGTTGTTAGTGAGCACCTCCCGTTCTTGTGGTGCTGGTAACATTTATTTATATCATCTAGGATCCCTGGGGAGGAGAAGGGAAACTTGCAGAGAACCTGCAACTGCTGTTACCAGTCAGGGAGCAAGCTGGCTGCTTGGCATCACAGCTTGTCTCCTGTCCTGACCTTACAAACCTGTCTTCTCTGGCCAGGGAGTTAGTGCAGTATTCTACCCTGCTGTATGTGGGGTCTGTGGGCCAGAGGGGGAATGTGATCCTACCCAGCAGAAATACTGAAGATACAGCCCTCATGGCAGTGAATGACAGGAAGGGGTTATTTAAAAGTGAACCTACCCCCTCCAAATATAAGATGGGTCTGTGAGTATTTGCTGTTCTTATTTCAGTTTTAAAAGGTTACCTAATTTATTTTAGTTCCTTCCCAGCTTAAACCCAAATAAATCTGGCTATAAATCAGAGCACCATCAGCATAGATATTTGCACTGGTTCCATTAGAAGTGGTATAAAAATCAGGTCTGTGGTTAAGGTGCTGCAGTAATAGTGCACAGAAGAGGTATTTGCAAGTGATGAGTCACTGTTGCACTCTCTGGGTCTTCCACTATTTAATGTCTCTTTTTTCTTTTGTTCAAGTTTGTGAGATATCAGAGTAGCAATATTATTTCTCAAAAAGAAATTAGCCAGATTATTCAGGAGGCAGCAGAAGCCAACATAGCAGAGCTGCCTGTGGCCACGTCTCATGCTCTTCACCTCTTCCTTTCTCAGGTAAGAGAGCAGTGACTGCTTAGGAAAATGGGAAGGGAATCCCTGGGTGTTTGCTTTGGCCTTTGAAGATGTCATTGGTCTGTGTGGAAATGAGGGAGGGAGTATGAAAGAACAAGCCCAACAGTTTTATGTTGTTGTGAAAATCATTCTTTTTTTCTGACCTCTCAGATTCAGAATAGTCATTACCAGATGGAGCCAGAACAGTCAGGGATCATTCAGACCTTGCTGGATCAGCTCTTGGGACAGAAGACCCTGTGTGTAAAGCATCAGGACATGGTGTATCCTTTGATAGCTAATGTGTGTGACAGGTGTAACAGAGGTAGAAGGGATACTTAATTTGCTGCTCCTTCTCCTGTTCCAAACAAAATTGAAAAACTCTGAGTGGTTTCTACACTTGGCTAACTGTGGGATGAAAGACTTAATCATGTCCTAATCTGAGAAGACATTTTGGAAATGAGGAGACAATTGGGATTGAAGAAGGCTCTGTGTGCTGGGCTTGCATTAATCTATAAAGCAGAGGTGGTCTGTTGAAAGCGGGGCAGGCTTGGGAGTCTCTGGCTTCAAAGCAGTAACAATCCCTGTATTGATTTCCCTGGAGGATGAGCAATGAGTTAATCTCTGTTTGCATGCCATCTAGTGCCAGTATGCCCGTGAAATAGTGGAAACCCAAATGTGACTCAGGCACTTTCAAAATACAGAGAGCATTTGGGAATCACTGAGTGGAATTACCAGATTTTGTTCTGTTTGGGCCTAGTCTGCCACTGTGAACTAAATCCTCTTCTCTGGCAATGGAGGCAAAGGCCACTCCCAGATGCCTTGTGGAGAAAGAGGGAACCTGATGCAGTATTTGTTTTTTTTCTCAAACTTTTTTGCCTTCCTGTTTTCATCATGCTGCATTGCCTCAGACGTGCAGCAGTGATGGAAATGGCCATGGCAGTGATTTCCTGTGGGTGTGGGGACTTCCTTCACTGCGAGGCACTGTCATCAGCCATGTGTAGGGTACGTGGTGGGTGAGGTGTTTGTCCTGTCAGGAGTAGCTTGTCCTCATGCTTACCCCCAGTGTGATGCTACTGCTCTGTTGTGGAACAATCAGAGGGCAGGCTGTCCTGGTGGAGGCCATTGAACCCCATTAAGTCTCTCTGCACTCCACTTTGCTTCTCTGTACAGGGATGAAGGAATTTGGATGGGAGGTTTTGTTACATTGCTGAAGTTACTTTTCATTTCTGACTTATTTCATGTATTAAGTAACCTTCTAATTTTGGTGGTTAGGGAAGATCTTAGATGCACTTGAAGTGCAGCAGTGGGGCTATGTGAACAAGATAGTCATGGACATGGAAGACAAAATCCTCTGGTCAAAATGGAGCTTTGACTTTTCTTCAGGTTTACCTGCACTGGTGTTTCTCGTGTATGTTGGGGGTGAGGTTCCATGGCTTGGGGAGGGTTGGTTTAGTAATGAAAACCTCCTGTCAGTGATATGTCAAATGTGGGAATTCCCATAGCATGCGTGCCTTTCCTTTGGTTTCCACTCATGCTGTCAATGACAGATGTCTGGGAAGCGTGGCAGTGTCCCTCTCACACATTGGAGATTGAAATGAGAAGATACAGTGCAAAGAGCAGAGGAAAAAGGCAAAAATGTAGCAGGAGACCCCAACCTGCCATTCGTTCCCAGTGAGTAGCAGGGAGAAGATGGACGAAGGAAGTTACTTGTTGCTCATTTTGAGAAAAAGGTTTGTTGAAATTAAAAGGTTCTGTTACTGAAACGACTCAGTTTTCCCTTCTGTGCGGGATAAGGCTTGGTTGATGCCCTTCATCTATCAAAACACAGACCTGCCTGGGAAACGATGTCGTACAGGGATGCCGTGGAAGATGTGTTCTGCTCACTCGCCTTGGCTGATCGGCCTGCGGGATGCTCCCTCCGCTCTGCGCGGAAAGGGGCGGTGGGGCTCAGCCAGGATCCCGGGAGGAGCAGACACGCTACGTGTCCCATAGGGATGAGGAGGCTTCTTCCAGGTCACGAGTGACCCCTTCGACTACAGCCCCCGCTGTCCTGTTGCCTGCAGACCCCGGCAGTGCCCGCCGGTGCGGTGCCGGGGCGGGGCGGGGGCTCAGGAAGTGACACGGCGGGGCGGAGCGGCGGCGGCAGCGGCGGCAGCGGCAGCATGGCAGCGCGGCGGGCGTGAGCGCCGGCCCCGGCACCGGCAGCGGCACCCGGCAGGTGGGGACCGGCCCGGGAGCCATCCCCGCCCCGCGAGTTCCAGCGGGGCCGGGGGGGAGCGGCAGGAGGGAGTGGCGGGAGCAGCCCTGGGGCCGCTCCGGGGACACCGGGGGATGGGGCGGAGGTGGCCGGTGCTCCCCGAGCGACACCCGGGAGGGGCAGCCGGGGTGGCCGATGAGCGGGGCGGGCAGTGCGGCCCCGGGACACCTTCCCGGAGCCTGGGTGGAAGAGCTGTGCCCGACGGGCTCTGCCTGCCGTCGCCGCCCGCTCGCCCCGCGCTGGGGCCGCGGCAGGAGCGGGGCGCCGCGGCTGCGGGCAGCTGCCGTGCCCCGAGGGTTCGCGTCCCCCTGTGCCGCCCGCTGCGTCCGCTGGACACGGCTCCGGTGGGCTTCCCGCAGCGCGGCCGGGGTAGGCTCGGCTGGTCCCCTTCCCACCGTCCCCGTGTGACTGCCTTTTCTTTCAGCGGAGCTGGCGGGAGAATCCTCCTCTGCTGTGCCGGCGGCCGCCCGAGCTCCGCAGGGTGCTGCTTGAACCCCTCCGGCACGACGGAGACGCGAGGGTGGGCTGGAACGGAGCCGTTCCTGCTGGAAATCACAGCAGGAAATCGGGGCTGCCAAACCGTGTGGTATGCGAGCTTCTGGGCTTGGTGGTTGGGAGACTTTGGAGACGAGCAGGTGTAAATGGCCAGTCCTGTTTCCTCTGAAGCAGCTGGTCCTGTAAGCCCCATATAGATATGTCCTCCTAGAGGAGTCTGAGCAGAGGTGTTTCACTTCTGAAGCTTTTGGTTCACCTGTAACAAAAGATTAATCTTCATCTAGTTGTTGGAGGAGCACCTCTGGAATGGGTTCGTGGGGCAGGGAGTTTTCATTCCTTGTTTTGCCACAGCATGCTCCTGGTGAAGGATGGTGCTTTTCCCCCTACATTTCAGTGCCTGCAGAGCGGTAGTGGGGGGGTAATGCAAAAGTTTCTCCTGGGAACCAAAGCGTTGCAGCGTGGCTCTGCCTTGCAAGCTCATTAAGTGAATAAATCTCAGGGATGCTTGGTTCAGATGGAGCTCCTGCAGGAAAATTTATAAAGTAATTGAAAACATTTTAATGGGAAGTACTAACCATCTATTACATGGCATCTGTTGTCATGTCTTTGGCAAAACACATCTAAATTAAGAGGTTGGTAGACAGTGAGACAGACTGGTGGGCTTGCTGCTGAAACAGCCAGGTGGCCAGGGCTGCAAGGCAATGTTGGTGGAAACTCCTTTCCATCTGTAGCATCAGGCCAGGCCCTGGCTCCCTGGACTGCTCTGGGAGCACCAGGCAGAGCTGTCTCTGGCAGAAATCAATTCAGGGAGGAGCAGGGAGGGAAGAGAGGAGCAGCTCTGCAGTGTTTGTGTCTCATCTCATCCCTCAGCAGGTGTGAAGACATGAGAGAGAGTTTGTGGGGAAAGCATGGAGGAACATCTGCAAGGAGCTTTGGCATCTCTGCTGTTACATAGTGTGGCCTGGAGAGGAATTAATGTCCTCTGCTGTTAGAATGGGGTGAAGTTGCCAGGGCAGAGAAAGGAAATAAATCTGAGGTGGTCCCACATGGCATCAGCGGCCCCAAGTTCCCTGTGGGTGAGAGAAACAAGCTGGGCCCTGCTTCATTTTCACCAGCTTTTCAGCCCTGATGGACAATGGCAAATAAACAGCTCTGATGTGAGAATGAGTGCCAGCAGATCAGATCAAAAGGTGATGGGCTTCCAGTGTGGTGTGGTTCTCCAGCCCTCTACTTCTGACCTTGTCCCAGGGAACAGTCTTTAGGGCTGGTGTCAGAGGATCTGAATACATTTGCATTGCAAACACTGGCCATCCCTACCCCAGCATCTGCTGCTGTCTCTGAAGAAGCCCATCACTGTTGTGGGACTCGGAAGCAGCCAGGCAGGCTGTGCTGCAGCAGCTGCCTGGCCTGCAGCTGCTCCGGCTGAGAGCTGTGCTTTGCTCTGCTGCTGCCTGGAACGGGGCTTTTTGCAGCTCAGCTCCCCCTTGTTGCACCTGTGGAACATCCTCTGGCCACCCAGCTCCAGTGTTGGAAATGGGGGATACTGCAGCCCTGTCCTAACCAGGCATGCTGGACTGCCACAGGCAGCATGGCAGACCTGTTGTGGGCAGGGTTTCTGCTCTTTGCCTTCCAGCCTAGTCTGGAGGCCACTGGCTACCTCCAGTTTCTCTTTCCAGTTCTCCATGAGCATGGCAAATAGCCAGCCTAATCCTCATGTCTGATCCGAGGGGCCAACAGGAGCCTGGTCCCAGGGCAGTCACTCTTTGTGCTTTTGCATTGCTGCACTTCCTCCTCCCTGAGATCTTGGGAGGTATTGAGCAGCTGTGGGGCTCTGCAGAGGGGAGACCTGCACCACCTCACTGAGCCAGGCCCTGGGTCCTTGGGTCATGGTTTTTGGCAGGGTGAAGCTGTCTCTTGGAAGCTGACCAGGCTGGCAGGTCCAACAGAACATCTGTTTGTCTGGGCTGGAGAATTTACTTTACAGCCTTGGCTTGTTGGTGTGCTTTGTGTCATTCAGGATGGCTAGAATATGGCTTAAGCCTCACACCACAGTGGGAAGAGGGGACAGACCCCAAACCTGGCATGGGGATTTGTGCTGCTGCCCTGGCTCCACACTGTCAGAAACATGGGGCGTGTTGCTGAGCCCACTCCAGGGGCAGCCCTGTCTTCAATAATGCTGGTTTTTACTCTGGTCTGTTCCTTACCAGGGGTGTAGCCTTTTACAAAGCACAGCAGCAAAATATTTCAGAGGGTTTCTCATGTTTGTCTGACACTGCTCCCCTGCCTTTGCCAGGGGTGAGAAGATGCTTGGCTTGGTCTCTGCAGGAGGTGCATGGTGGGAGCTGCTGCTGATCCTTGCAGGGCTGGGAGAACTGCTGGTGCTGCCTGCTTTGCCTCTTTCATGGGCTTGGAGTTGAAGAAATTGTATTTGTTTAAAAAAAGAAAAGCAACAAGAAGGGATTTGGTTTTGTTTCAGTGTTGGGGCATTACAGAGACAAGTTTGGCTGGGCAGGCAAACTCAGACTCGAGAGGGCAGTGGGTCACAGGGTGAGGTCAGCTCTGGTGGCCTTACACATCTGCCTTTCCTTCGGGAGCAGGAGGTGGCTCAGGTGATGCCTCTGAAGGAGCTGTTGCTGCTGTAATTGCCAGTGGCCTGTGCTCAGCTCCATGGAAACCTTGTGCCTGAGGACAGTCCAGCCTGAGTTCTGCTGCCTGGGGACTGAGCTATTGCTCTCCTTTTCCAGGTATAGACTGTCCAAGAGGATCCTCATTCTCAAGGACCTTTTCCTCCAGCCGTTGATTTTATCTGAGGGACATTTGTGGTCAGGAGCAGCTCTGCCCAAGAGCATCCCTACAAAGCCTCAGACGCTGCCTGGGAAGGGACTTGTTTGGAGGGAGGGGAAGTTACCACCAGGTCACCCAACTGTTGTTTTTTGGTGTGGGACGTGCAGGTGGCACCCAGCTTGTAGTGAGGGAAAGGGTCCAGGTACCAATACCCAAGTGGTGAGGGGAGCTCGCTGAACTGGTTGCACTGGGACTTGAAGGACAGATGGACTTCAACCCCTCAGTGATCCCTCTCTTCCTTCCAGACCTGCGGTTGTGGCTGTTGGGCTGCTCTGCCTCACAAACCTGGCAAAAACCTAGCTGTTATTTTTGGAAGAAGGGGTAGGACTTAAATTTTCTGCTGGGTCAGATGCCTGGGGCTGGCAGTGCAGGCAGGTAGAGAGAAGAGGGACACCAGGCCTTCACTTGCAGGAGAGAGCAGGCTGGCTGCAGCATCACCATGTGGCTCTGCTCTGGCCACTGTATCCCTCAGACCCCTCATGGGGACAAGGGGGAGATGGGCAAGGCCCCTGGTGCCAAGGGCAGGGTGCCATCGGTCCCACGTGGCTTGTGTGACTTCTCCTTTTGGTAAGTCTCCTCACTGATCATTGGTTTTATTGGTCTTTTTTCTTCCAGGCTGCAGTGGCCAACATGGATTTTCTCATCATCTGTCCCTTTCTGCTGGCCTTGCTGCTGTCCCAGGGCAGCTTCACAGACCTGGAGAAACAGAGAGTAGACTCTGGCTTGGAAATCTGTATCCTCTGCAACCTGCCCCTCATAACCACTTATGCTCTAATGGCTGCAGAGGCTGGAGGGAGCACATGCCCAGGGAAGGGGTCAGAGACCATGGAGAGGGGCACAAGGAAGTGGAAAAGAGAGGATCCAGAAGCACTGGGAAGTTGCTGCTTTGTCTTTCTGTAGATGGTTTTAGCCAAGCTCCTGGGTTTGCTAACCAAGTGCCTGGCTTGGTGCAGGAGCAGAAATGGCAGTGATGCCTGCTGTTCTTTCTGTTTCATTGTGCTGGGCACTGAGCACATTTCCCAGTCTGCTCTTGGAAGTGGCATGGCCAGCCAGAAGGCAGAGTATGCCTGCACATCTCAGTGCTTTGGGGTCACCAGCTGGGATGGTGGAAGAGGACTCCTGGGCGTGTGGCACTTGGTCTGCTCTGTGCCACAGGCACTTTTTGCCCATGAAGAGATGATGGGCTAATGCAAGCCCTTCTTAGCACACAGCAGCATCCCTTGGTGAAGAGGCAAAGTACAAAAACATGAGTATGGGGAGACCCATGGGGAGGGTGGCAGTTTGTGTTCCTCCAGCCCATCAGTCAGAGCGTGGGCTGACAAGCAGAGAGCTCCCCACAAGCTCTCAGCATTGTTAAGGGCCCTGCTGGGGTGTTTGGGCAAAGGGTTCACTGGAAATCTCTGTTCCATCCTGGCACAGGTGCTGCCCCTCAGACACCTCGTGGGGGGCCTGGGATGGTGCCAGGGACCCGGTGGAGGGGGGAGAGCAGCACTGTGGTGGGAGAGTGTTGACAGTGCCCTTGACTGTGGTGCAGATAAGAAGCTGTTTGAGGTGAAGCGCAAGGACCAGATGAATGCTCTGAAGAACTTGATTGAGCTCAATGACGTCAATCAGCAGTACAAAATCATTGACATCATGCTCAAGGGACTCTTCAAAGTAAGCCACAGTGCAGGCTGCTCTCTGAGCCCACACGGGTGGGCAGAAATGGGAAGGGTTGGGGGCTTCTCTGGAGTGTGTGGCAGGTGAGCCTTAGGACCTGAAGGGAGGATGCCATGGGGTTTCAAAGTGGGGCAGCTGTGGCAGCACCTCCAGGGTGCTGGGCAGGGCTGGCAGGACAAAGCAGTAACCAAGGACTCTGGCAGGTGTTGGAGGACTCCCGTGCTGTGCTCATCGCTGCTGATGTGCCTCCTGATGGGCCCTTCCCTCAGGATGAGAAGATAAAGGATGGTAGGTCCTCTCTGCTTTTTACCCGCCTCCTTTTTCTGGTGCTCTGGTGCACCACAGACACTCTTCCTGGGATCAGTGCTGGGGTAGGTACAAAACCCATGTATCCAGACCAGACCTGGGCTGCTCCCTGACTGTTGGGGACGCTGTTGCTGCCTCTCTGACCAGTTCATTCTGGGGAGCCTGTTGGTTTGCCCTCAGCCTGCGCTGATGGAGCTGGTGGCTGTCCCCACAGCGTACTCCCACGTGGTGGAGAACACTGCCTTCTTCGGGGACGTCGTGCTGCGCTTCCCCAAGATTGTGCACCACTACTTCGACCGCAACTCCAACTGGAACAGCCTCATCCGCTGGGGCATCGGCTTCTGCAACCTGACGGGTGTGTTCGAGCAGGGACCCCACTCCCAGGTCCTGCGGCTGGTACGGCTCCTCGTCCCTCTGCTGCTGGGCTGGGGGAGCTGAGGGTTTGGGGGAGAAGGAAGGCAGGGCCTCCCCGTGTCTGGGGGCTGTCCTTGAGCTGAGGGATGGGGAAAGAGCACAAAGCATAGATGGGACTGGTGGGAGAGTAGGTGACCCCGGTCACACAGCTGGGGGATGGGAGTGGGAGGCACCACTCCCCAGTGAGGTCTCCCCTTTGCTCTGCAGATGGCTCAGGAGCTGGGAATCAGTGAGAAATCGCCTGATTACCGCAATCCCTTTAAAACGGACCAGTCTGAGGTAAGATGGCAATGCTGCCAGCTTGTCTCATGGGCTTCCCCATCCGTGTCACAGCTCCAGGGGCTGGGGAATGGAATGGGTGGCTTGTGGGAAATGGCCAAAAGCCCCTATCACTGAATAATCATGGCTGAAACACAAACACTGAATTCCCCGTCTGTGCTGTACTTTGGGCACCTGGTGCCCTCTCTTCCCTTCTGTGGCACCTGCCTCGTAGGTGAGACTCTGTTTGCCTCGTGCTGCATCTGTGCTCTGCACTCCCTGTGCGAGGCTTGTACCTTGGCTTTGGTGGGCTTGGAGGGGTTGCGCCTTTGGATGCTCCCCAATGCTGACCCCTTGCTGTCAACCCACAGTTTTTCCCCAGTGCTGACACCTTTCAGAAGGCGCTGCGGGATGAGGAGAAGAGGAGGAAGAAGGAAGAGAAGCGGAAGGAGATCCGCAAGGGCCCACGCATCTCCCGCTCGCAGTCGGAGCTGTAGCACGCTGGGACTTGTGCCTTGCAGTGGGGGTGACACCACCGGACACAGAGTGGCTTGCTCCCTTTTTGGCAGCTTTGGGCCGGTGCCTGGCCATTCCCTTTCCATTTGTGCTGTGGGTTTTGTTTTGTTGCCTTTCGTTTTTGTTCAGTGGAGGTTGCTGGTGGGCTGGCCCAAAGGGCTAAAGTGGGATACCCCTTCCACAGAGGTGAAGCACAGACAGGACAGCACTGGGGCCATCCCCTGGTCAGGGTGTTGCTGCCTGTGGGGAAGCAGGGTGTGGGGGACAGGCCTCTGGTGGAGCCCAGGGATCCCTCCTCACTGCAGCACACCCCACGCTGAAGGTGCCTCCTCCAGCCCGGGTGGGCTGGGGAGTGTGTCACGCCAAACAGCCTCATGAGCAATGCTGCTTCTCTCGGGTTTGCTTTTCCTTTAGCTCAACGGGTGATCTCATTGGCACCCCCACTGGGTTCTACCTGGTCTCTGCACAGCTGCTACCTCTGCCAGGTCAGACCTTCCCTTTTCCCAGCGGCTGTTTCACCGAGCAGCGTGCGTTTCACTGTCCAGGCGTAGCTGAACATGCCGATGGCAGCTGTTCCTGGCCGATGGCATCTCGTGGCCACGTCAGGTCATTCCCGCAGAGGCAAATGCCCGGTGACTTTTTGGACAGGAGGAATTTTGGTACTCAGCCTCTTTGCAGGCCGTGGGTGCCTGTAGTGCAAGTGATGCTGAACATGCTGGGAACCAGCCCTGAGGCGCTGAGAGCCTGTCCCGCTGCCCACGCCCCATCCCTTCTCTTTGGGGCTCATCCTCTAAATGAGTCCCCGGAGCCCCTTGTCAGGGGACAGCCACGTGGCGACAGCAGGAGCCAACCTGAGGGGCTGCGACCCTCCGCGGGGCGTCTGGGCTGCCGTGGGGACAGAGGCGAGGGGCTGGCCCAGGACACAGCCACCTGTGGCTCCTCCCTGTGCCGGTGGCCTCGCAGCAGAGCAGGCTCTTCCCCAGGGAGCCGGTTCTCTGCGCGGGGCTGGCAGCACCACAGCCTTTGAGGAAAGGGAAACGCCGCGGGTTTTTAACAGCAGAGCCAAGTCCCTCCAATGAGGGGAGGGGGTGGCAATGGGCGCATTTGGTTTTTCTTGAATAAAATTGACTTTATTATATATATTTTTTTTTTTTTAAGTAGAAGAATCCTGCTGTTGCTCCCATTCCTGGTGGGAGCGGGTGTACGCCAGAGAGCGTCGAGGCTGGCCCCTCAGGAGCTGCGGGTCCGTGGGCGCTGCGGAGGGAAGCACGAGCCCCGTGCTCCATCCGCCGCCGCCCTGCAGCTGCCCTTTCCGCCGCGCATCCCGGCGCATCCCGGGACGCCAGCCCCGCCCCGCCCGCGTTCCCCGGGGGGCCCGCCGGCAGCGGCAGCAGCCTCCGCTTGAGCGCCCGGGGCGGCGGCGGGCCCTGCGCGATGGAGGGCGGCGAGCTGGCCGCCGAGGGCATGGACACCCTGACTGAGCTGGGCGACGAGCTCACCCTGGGTGACATCGACGGTAGGCGCCGCGAGAAGGAGCGGGGGTGGGGTGGAGGCGGCGCGCGTGGGCTCCCCACGCGGGTTGGGGGCAGCGCTCGGGTCTCCCCGCGGCGGCTGGGGCAGGAGGCGTGGGTGGGTGGCCGGTCCTTGGATCGTGCTTGTAAGGTGCTCAGGGAGGGGGCGCTTCCCACGGGAGCGGGCATCCCCGTCCCGGGTGGGCACAGGCCGGGGAGCGGAGCCTGGCGAGCGGCCACGCGTGTCTGCCCTGACAGGGGAGCGCTCCTGAGCGCCTTCCGTGGGGCTGCCGCTCGCCTGGAGCGGAGGCCGTGGCCGCGGGAAGGCGGGGGGGTGCGGGGGTCCGAGCCCAGCCTTCCGCCCGTGGCGGGGCCGGGAGGGGCCGGCGCAGCGCTGCCCGTGTCCCGCTCCCGCCGCGCTCCCGCGGGGCCGGCGGCGCTGCCCGCCTTCCCCGTGTTTCCTCGTGGCCCTTCCGAAGCAGTGCTGAGCCACGGCTGAAGCTGTGCCTCCGCTGGTGCCCGTGGGAGGCCGAGCCTCCAAGCCCTCCTGCATCGGAGCAGCTCTAAGTACTCGAATTTCCCGTTTTCCCTGTCATCCCAAAACTTTACTGCATGGCTGGCACGGCGCAGACCTGTGAGAAAACCCCTGTTTTCCACCGAAGTGCACAAGACGAAGCGCCTGCGTGTGACGCCTGTTTTATGTATATTTTTGGCGACACCAAGCAGCTTCTGAAAACCCCTTTTAAAATGATACTTCTCGGTGTGGTCTGTGCTGTAGGCTGGTGGAGATGAGCTCACTGCTCTGCTGGGCTGTAATCCCAAACAGAGCTCAGTTTTGGGGGTGTCCAAAATATCCTTGTTTAGCAGCTGGGAGAATTTTTAGGTTTCTAATTGATACTGATTTGCCACATAGCTTGGGGCAAAATTTGTACTCCTGTTTTTCTTTTGTTATCAAAGAAGAATGTACCTTATGGCAGTGCAATGGGCCTGGTTATTGCTCATAAAGTTTGATAGTGCACATTGAAGGAGGTGTTTGCTGTTGTTGGAGCACCATGAAATGAGGTCTTAGGTTCCATACGGAAACTGAGACCAATTGATGAACCCAGCAATGGCTCTGAACTGAGGTGTGCCCTGGGAGGTGTGATTCAGAGCCATGAGTAACTCAGGAAAACGAGCTTCACTTTCCTCCCCACCTCCAGGGCTGGATTTTCCCGGGGAAGGCAGGGGGAAGATACGTGACAATCCTGCTTTTTTTGTGCATCAGCATGGATTCATCCCAGGGTTTGAAATTTTGCATGGATTTTCGTTCGGTTTTTAAATCCTCTTGTGGGTGTTCCTCTCCTGTTCAGGCTGAGGGGGCTCCTCACTGCCTGTTGCGTGGATTTTGATTTTTTTTGTGGCAGATGTGCTCTGGGATGTCAGTGCTCGCTGGGTTCACAATTCCAGACAGGGCACAGGAGTGGCCCCAGTGCTGAGCCCAAAGGCTCTGCCTCTTGCCCCGGCACCAGCTGCTCCAGCAGCCGTGGGCATCTTCTGCTGGCAGGGCACTGCTGGGCTCCGGGCTGGAGCCGTGGGAGGTGCAGGCACATCAGGCTTCAGGACAGGGAGGCTGTTTCTGTGGAGGTTGGGTCTCTGCTGCTTTCTGTCTCTGGGAGCACAGCAGCTCCAGGAGCGTGAGGAGGAGCAGCCTCTGTGCTGGAGAGCGGAGCTGCTGCTGGAGCCCAGCCCTTGCCTTTCTGCCAGGTATTCAGGCTGCTGAAAGCGGCAGAAGCCCTTGGTGGGCTGTTTTGGTTTTGTAATACCTTGTTGACATTCTTTAGCCTTGGGTTGGGCTGGGATTTTTTTCTGCAGTAAGGTCACTCTGCTTTTGGGCCTGAGACCTAAATACTTCTCTGGCACAGAGGGTGCAGGTGCTCTGGTGACACCGGGTTTGTCACTGATGGCTCCAGAAGCACCTGAGGTTTCTCACAGTCAGTGTAGATATTCTGATTTCTGGGTAGGTGAAGGTGTCTTAAAAAGCAGAGATTTAGATTTTGGGTGTTGGCTGTTTCTCTTGCTGTTAATTTTTTGTGTGTTTTTTTAGGAAAGCTCTTGAGCCCTTTAAGAGAGGTGGGTTTTAATTAAGACTGCCAGACTTTCTGGCACTCTTACTTCTTAAAAATTAAGCTGTAGACTTTTTGCATTTAGTCAAAGTTAAGTCTCTCATAAAGATGTGATTTAACTTGTGAGAGCAGGAGTGGTTTTTTAAATAATCTGTTAAATCTGCTGCATTGAATGCAACATTCTTTAAAACACAGTGTTTGAAATTTTGTTCTTATGCTGTTCTACTTACTCTTCCAGAGCAAACCTCATCTGGTTTATGTTTATTCCCTACTTGCAGTGGTGCTGTCTGACAGTGAAATAGCAATACTATCAAATGCAGAGTTCAGGAACTAGTCTGAATTATCAGCTTTATCATGGTGAGGGTTATTTGGGATGGTCTTAGCTGAAGTCAGTTGGAAAGTGAAGAGCTGTTTAATATCCATGTAGATGTTGATCTTGAAACAGCCCTCTTTGTTCTGCTAGTGTTTTGTGAAAGCCAGTTAAGGCAGTGTATTAGAAAAACTAAATCTTTCCTTCCTCTAGTGAAGAGTGGAGACAAGGGTTTGGTCCAGCTGGTCCCCGAGGGTGGCTGCTGCCTCGTGCTGGGGGAGCTGTGTGTCCCCACTTAGTGTCAGCTTCTGAGCAGGCCAGGGGGACACCTCTCCCTCCAAAAAACTCCAGTTCTTGAGAGCAGTGGTCATGGCCAGTGCTTAAGTGTGTGTCAGGGTGTGGAGGGATTGCTATCCAAAGGGAACAGTAGTAGTTCACAGAAATATGTTGAAATGTGTGTTGAGGGAGCAAGAGGCTTGGAGGAGGATTCATCCCTTTGCTCTGACAAAGGAGTGTCAGACGAATTAATTGGATAAGGTGTGGGTGGCATTTCAGAGAGCTGAGCAAATTAATAGCCCTCTTATTGCTGGGACATAATCCATGGAAACTTCTTGTCAAAAGTTTACTGCTTCAAACCTACTTCATAAATCACAGCAGTGACATCCTTTGGGGTTTGTGAATGAGAAAGATTTCTGATCTACAGGAAAAAATGTGGCAAAGGGCTCCTTACGCCAGGACCTATTTTTTGCTTCCTAAACCCATATTTATTATTTTGTTATAATCTCTCTTAGGTTTGTGGGTCCCCTCTTTTCCTGTTTCTAGAAAAAAATAAATAGGACTTTCAGAAAACCATGGAAGAGCCAGTGCAGAAGGGGCAAGTCCTGGGGTGGGGAAAAATGTCTGATTCCTCATGCCACTGCCTGCACACAGATCAGGGAAAGCATTCATACGTCTTAAGATATTAAATTGGATTAGATGGAGAGAAGAGGAAGCTCTGCTTATGAGCAATGATCTCTTGGTTGTGAAATGTTCACCTCCAGGGGGGGAAGGCCTTTTGTATTGCAGTAGGAGCTTCTTGGTGTGGGTTCATAAAATCCTGGAGAAGGTGGGATGGTGAAAACCTGTTGTGCGGTGATTGCAGGCATAAAACCAACAGGAAAAGTTATTCTGATGTTTCAAACACATGCATGGACTTATCCTGGTACAGTTTTATAAAGTGATGTTTCCTTTCATGGTTTTTCTCCAATTTTTGTTATGCTGGTAAGTACAAGAGAGATAAGATGAATTCTTATCCTGTCTCTTCCTTTTCCAGATTCTCTGTGGGGCAGTACAGATAGGGGACTTGAAAGCTCCCAAATGTTGGGTAGGAGAATGGTTGGTGCTGGAATTGTGGAGGTGCTTGTTTCTTCCTTCTGCAAGGGTTAGACTGAAGGAGTGATGGAACAAGACTAATATTTTAGATATATATTGGAGATGGCTTTAGGTTCTAGTCTGTGCTTGGGTCTTGTTTTCTGGAAAAAGGTTGTGGGAAGGTATTACTTTTTGCCCTGAACAGCAGCAGCAGTGCTTTGCTGCTGGCCACGTCCTGGTCTCTCTCTGGAGGTGTTGCATTGGTGTGATGTTCTCTGAAGGTTTCGAGGGACCCAGAGCTCCCTTCTGTGCGCACACACCATAATTCCACGATGTAAATGGCAGGCGTCAAAGTATGCAGGTGACGAAGCAACGTTGAACAAATTTCCTTCTGTTTTCCAGAGATGCTGCAGTTTGTCAGTAACCAGGCAGGAGACTTCCCAGACCTGTTTTCGGATCCCTTGTGCAGCACCTTCCAGGGCGGCAGCGGCGGCAGCAGCGGCACCCTGGAGCCGCCGTTGCAGCGGCCCTACAGCCAGGTGCAGCTCCAGACCTTCCCGCCTGCCCCGGCCTCGCCGCAGCTGCCGAGCGCGCCGGTGAAGGCGGCGCAGACGACGCCTCCGGCCCCTCCGCGCTCGGCGCCCGTCCTGCAGCCGCGGCCCTCGGTGCAGCCGCAGCTCCAGCAGCAGGCCGTCATGATCGCGCCGACGTTCAGCTCTGCTCCCCAGACCAGGATTATCCAGCAGCCAGTCATCTACCAGAATGCTGCCACAAGCTTCCAAGGTAGTGCTTGGAGTGCTCAGGGTACCGGTGTGCCCGGTGCACGTGAGATTCCAGGATGGCCGGGCTGTGGATGTGCTTGGTGCA